GACCCACAGACACCCCCCCAATGAAAGGATAGCCCATTCCACGCTTTTACTTGTTGTTAAACAAATGTTTAAGCAACTCTGTTCAAATACTTTTTCTCTGTTTTCATCAGCTTTTAAAACATATATATATCTTGTTTTACACATGCTATGGGAATCATGTATATATATGTAGTAGTGATGGAAAGGGGAAACATCAGTGTTTTGGTGAGTGTATGATGCCTCCATGTCTTATTTATCAACTTTTTGAAAAGTATGTTAACTTAATTTGCTTATGGTCAAAGAAATATTTTATCATGTGGAAATAAAAATATTTATAGTGTGTTTGTTACTCTCTTTGTAGTCCAAAACTATGTTAGTTATATTGTGATGTTTTATGTCTTGTGAAACAGTGACTGATGTTAATGTAGCTTATCTATGAATTCCATTCATTCAAAAAATTTAGAGAACAAATAATGTGGTTTAAATGATTTTGTTCTGTTGAGTAATGGAAACAATTTTGCAGATAAACCAAAGAGAAAACATGTTCATGCTATTATTTACATTTACTGCATGAACAGCCTCAGTTAAACAGTTATTGTATTGAATGAACTACACTACAATTTTAAGGGTATGTTATGTAAACATTATCTTCTCATACATTATACTAGTAACTGATAGTTCAATAAATATTAAAGCATGTTTGTTGATTGTGAATATGTTCTCTTCATCTGATTTTGTTGCATGGAATCAAGAACAAGTTGAAAGAAAATGAAATCTTGGGAAAATATTATCTAAAACTAATATCAAAATATTCACACCACCATAGAGATGAAAATATGAAGAACCCTAAAAAAGAATGTAAAAGGAACTGGTTGTGCATTAATCACTATTTTTTATGAGAATGTCCTTAAATTGTGGACTAAGCTGTAGGCATTAAATATGATTGTCAGTGTTTTTAAAACACTTATGTATTTACATTTCCAAGGGAATTTTAATGCAACAATTAAGATAATTTGTTGGAAAAATAATTAAACCAAAGATATTTCCAATATCATTGTTCTTTTTTTTATATCTTTCTCATTTTTCTGATAAGATCCCACTTGCTAAGGACAAGATATATGAACTAAATAATCTTATTGACGTGTTGTTACACAGAAATTTTTTATCATATTAATAACCAAATTCCTTAACTCTTATTTTTTCAAAAGTTTCAAACTAGGTAGTTAGTTTTACAACTTGCACTCAGGTTAACAAAAAAATGTACCAATTCAATGGGATAAAATTATAACTGGACTATATCAGGACATTTATCATTTGCACTATTCCTTTCACTGCCATGACCCACCTTTTAATTCATTTGAGGTTTTAATGTTATATAGTCAGGGAAATTATTGAGCTAGATTGATGATTTAATTACTCTGACTATCACAATTATGAATCTTCTCTATTGTGTGATGAGTACTAAGTGTGAATCAGTAGATGTTTGTTAGATTCTTTTGCTACAAGAAAGCATTTACTCTGTTGCCAAGCACAAAGTAAACTTACAGATTATTTATCATATTATCAACACTTCCCTTGAAAACATCTCATTTGTCTAATTATTTCTTACATTAGTTAGATATAGAGGTAATATTTTTTGTTTTTGTAAACCAGTGGTTCTCAAAATTTTTTGTTTGTGAGTAATCTTGGTAGACCACAGTGGGATCTATACACTATGCTGCCACTTTTCTTCTATAATTATACAACCCTTCATGGACCACATATTGAGAACCTCTGTCCTCAACTATTCTCCAAGTAGTTTCTGTAATGAAAACAAGTTTTATGCATACAGTTTTGAAACTTTTCCATGTACACTCTTAAATACAACTAAATTAACAACTTCATAAATTAAAAACAAAGTAATTTAAATCACCTCTAGGTTTTTATCTTATTAAAAGTTATTTAGTTTGTTTGAGAAGTTTCAGTCCATGCCTTATCAGCCACATTATAATACATAATAATATAATATTTTTTTTTCACATCTTATTTTGACAGTAACTCTTATCAGTATTTCCAAGTAATAGCCAGTAGTGCCATTTATCGAAAAATGATGTTAATAATTATGATTTTTCATTACAAAGTTTAATAAAATTATTGTAAAAAATCTTGCTATTTTTGTTGAAAATTTTCTTGGGAAATTAAATTTCACCATAACTCATAACATGTAGTAAACAGCTGTTCAACTGTTGCAGCTGCTTTTATGCAAATAATGTAGGATATTTATTTGATTTTTCATTTTAGCTTCTATTCTTCAACAAAGCAGATCAGCTATTCGACATTCACACCTAGGATCAAACTTCCTACTCCTCTTGTATGTATATAGGCTTTATGTTGTATATATCTTAAGGGTTGAAGTTACAGACTACATCAGCATATTTATCACTTGCACTATTCTACTTAGTGTAATTGCTATGGCTCATGTTTTGATTCAGTATGCTGTACAAAACTATCACACTAGAAAATTACTAACTTGTGCATTTTAAAATTAACTCAGTCCTTGTTAAGTCTCTTATAACATTCCTTTGTAAGTGGTAACATGCTTAAAAGTTTGATAAAAATGAATAAAAACCCTATAACCCGAGCGCTTTTGAAAGGCAGACCTTTCTTCTTCATCTTTCTAACATCATGAATGCTTAAAAGTTGGTACACTTCTGACTGTACCAAAAAATCGTAAAAAAGAGCAATGCTGAATTGTTACTATTATTTAATTTTTAATTTTCAGTTAAATAAGTATGCTTGTATTTCAATGAATGAAACCTTTTAAAAATTCTCAGTTTTTGTTGAGTAAGTACTGGAGAAACTGATTTGGTTACTTTGAAATTATGTGTTTAGAAGTATAATTTGTTCAGGGAATAAATCTATCATTAAAGAAATAAATTGATGTAAGACAGGAAAACAGTTATACTAGTATTGGGAAGTTTATATGAAGAATAACCAAACTTAAAAATAAAATGACAAGGAGATGTCTCAGTCTTTCAGATGAATATCCTCTTTTTTTATATTTTTTTTATTAAATTTCATTAATTTTTAAGTGTGTGTTTTAATGTTTTTATTTGAAATGTGAATCATTAGATGTAACAGCAATAACCTTGGTAACGTATCTTTATTTTAAACTTTCTATTATTATTATATGTATAGTTAAGTGACAACAAGTTAAGTTTTATAACTTTTTACTTAAGAGTAATGAAGGATGTAAGCACTAGGTAAACCTTGGTCAACAAGGATCAATTCATCATCTTGAGATTTTTTATTTGTTTTTAATTTTCTGATAGTTTACTCACTTATGAAAGATGTCTTTATTTTCTAGCCCAAGGCAGCAAGAGAGAAAACATTACAAAATGGTAAGAAGCTCTTAGCATGCTAATCCTGCTTTGCTTGTTTATCTGTCATAAAATCTTCATATGGTTATACAGAGGGTTGAGTTGCATTATCTTAAAATGGTTTTGAATACGCAGGTCAGCAATTCATGTGATAATTACAGCTGATATAAAGTCACAGTGGCATGCAATATATCAGAACCACATTTTGACATTGGAATTTCATAGATAGTATGATGCCATCAAAAATTGCTTGCTTTTGAGAAAGATATGTAGCAGTCCTTTCCAGTGTAAAATATTCATACATAAAGATGTGCTTGTCATGATATAAAAGACTGTTTGGTTTAAATATTAGTGATTAATTTATATATATATTTGTGAGTGAATATTTTATTATTCTTAAATTTGTTATAATAAGAGTTAAAAGCAAACGATTGTAGAAGGTTTTGTTAATAAGTAATTGGTGTCGAGAATATAGAAAGTGGCCAGACAACTATGTAATAAAGATATAAAAAGTGTGAGATGAGTGGAAAGCAGCAGACATACAACAATAGATAGATAATAGCAAAAGAGAATATAGCTGTGTGAAGTTAAGTACTGTGATGAGTAGTGCCCTGGTGGGCTTAATTGTTGGAATTTCAATTAAAACTACTCGTTACACCAAATTTATTTATTGGAGGATTTGTCGTGACGAGTAAAGCCACAAGTCACTAACTAGAGGTAGTTTACAGTTAGCCTAAAGAATTAGAGTCTCAGGCCAATGGTGAACACTTACAATAACATTTATTAATCATTAATTCATCTAACTAACAGTTAATAAAACAAAACTTCAACATACAAACATAAAATGGTTTTTAACTCGATTAAAATACTTAATATCTTCAATATACACTTTCATTAATACACATAGATATATTTCAACATAACATTTTATAAAACATTGGTATTAACTGACTGAGAGAGAATAGTAAAGTTTACTTACAATGGTGTTGTATTCGGAAATCGAATAACGTTAGAAACCTTCATGTTGCCCAAGAGAGTGACTTTTCCAGCTTCCAGAGGAACTCTTTCTGAATTCTGGAGAAATCACTTTTCAGTCTCTGACATGAATTTATAAAGCAAATTTTCTGTGTATTATCTCGTTCATCTAAATAGGACACAGCATCACCTGCAAGTAGTCCTGTGATCCTATTAGACGCTTCAGGGGAATCCCTGGGCTATACCAAAACCATAACCAAAACTCTCAAGTAATTGGTTACAGTTAGGTTGTGTTAGCCGGTCACCTATTTACTTGTACTGCTACACCCATGTGCTGTAAATGATATCACCTCAAAGCACCGATATTGCTCGATAAACCAAACTTTTCTGTAGCTTTCCTAGTTCTAAAGGGTTGAGGTCAACCTGTCACAAGTTCTAGTACACTCATCTCATTTTTAGGCAACGCTTCGTACGTAGCCTAACCTTGTTTTTCTAGTTCATCCACATTTCTTTACAAAAAATGCAACTACTAATTTAACTTTATTCTTAAACTTTCAAAATTAATAAAAACTCCTAAAAACGTTGAAGCAATTGTAAATTGCCTTGAAAATAACCCAATTGCTTCAATACCGTAGATGTGATAGGCCTAACGATTGACATAGGCCTATCATTTAATATGTTAGAGTGAAACTAACAGATAAAGACACTAAAAGATAAGAAAGATAATTTTATTCCATCAAAAGCAATTGAATCATCCTGGGTACATTTTGACAAAAGGAACAGAGGATCTTCAGAAGAAAGAAGACCAAACAAATTACGGTAACTTGTGCCACAACTGTAAGTGAATCACACACAGAATACTAGTACAATAGTAATATAGAGAAGATAGTTCGACTTGTCAACTGAAATTCTAAAGTAATTGAATAGGCCTAAGTGGAAGAGAACTATATAAATAGTGTTTATGATATGCCTGTAATCTCTATAGTGTGAAGACTTTGTTGTACATAGGTTTAACTTGTTCCAAATATACACACACACACACACATATATATATATATATATATATATATATATATTATT